CTGGAGTCTCGTCGTGTCTCTATGTGTGATCATGGAAGGTCGGTTCAACATTAGAGACAGCTACCTACGTGAGTACTCCAAGCTAATGAGTTCATAGGCTACGACACCATCCTCATCGGCAGCTTCTTCGCCCACCCAGAATTCGCAAAGAAGTTCGGCGATGGCAAAGATAATGAAGGCCGAGACCAGCTCTCCGCCCTCTGGCAAGCCGTCCTCGGCAACAGCAGCACCTTTGGCTGCATCATCGGCGTCATCGCCAACGGCTTCCTCGTTGAGCGGTGCGGCCAAAAGACAGCCCTCATCAGCTCTCTCTTCGTACTCTCCGGCTGCATCTTCATCACCTTCTTTGCAACCAATAAGACCATGCTCATGCTTGGTCAGATCGCGTGCGGCCTGCCCTGGGGCGTCTTCGCATCCTCAGCACCCGCGTATGCGTCTGAGGTCTTGCCGTTGACGCTGCGGGTGTATCTGACTACGTGGACCAACATGTGCTTCATCATCGGCCAGCTCATGTCCGCGGCCGTACTCGCGGGGCTACTGCCGCGGAAAGACGAGTGGTCCTATCGAATCCCGTTCGCACTACAATGGTCCTGGCCGGTACTGCTCATCCCGCTGCTAGTATTTGCTCCGGAGTCCCCATGGCATCTTGTCAGGACCGGCCAGCTCGACAAGGCGGAGAAGGCATTGCTACGTCTCCAAAGGCGAAAAGTTAACAACCTAGACGCCAAAGTCCGTCTACGTGAAATCATAGAAACCGATAGAATGGAGCAGGTGCACCAGACAGGAACAACCTACTGGGACTGCTTCCGCGGCGTCGAACGTCGCCGCACAGAGATTGCATGCGTAGCATTCGCAGGCCAAGTCCTCTCCGGCTCGAGCTTCGCCTACAACTCAGTATACTTCTTTCAGCAAGCCGGGCTGAACCCGCAAGATGATTATAACCTCAATGTCGGCGGTACCGCGCTAGCTCTGGTGGGGACCGTCGTCAATTGGGTCGCGCTGATGCCGTACTTTGGCCGTCGTCGCATCTATCTCTGGGGCATGTTTAGCATGTCCACTATACTCTTCATCATCGGCGTCCTCGACAGGATAGGCCGGTTGCCGAATGCACCATCGTCACCCATAGGCTGGGTCCAAGCCTGTCTTACCCTGGTGTGGACTTTTATCTTCCAGCTATCGGTCGGTCAGCTTGGGTGGGCTATCCCAGCCGAGGTTGGATCTACGCGTCTACGGCAAAAGACCATTTGCGTCGCGAGGTCTACCTATTATGTGATGAATCTACTGGCAAACGCCTTCCAGCCATTTTTTATCAATCCGAACGCGTTGAATCTCAAGGGTACTACGGGTTTCGTCTGGGGAACCTCGGCGTTTCTCACATTTGTGTGGGCATTTTTCCGGCTGCCGGAAACAAAGGGGCGCACGTACGAGGAGCTGGATTATCTCTTTCACAACAATACCGCGACGAGGCAGTTTGACAAGACGGAGGTGGATGTTTTCGAAGGAGGCTATGAGAAAGTGTCACCACCTAACTCTCGATGAGTTTCTTCATGTTCTCCCGTAGGATTCAGCTACTGGATGAGAGGATATAGCAATAGGTAAAGTGCTTAGGTACTTGTATGAAGAGAAGGAATTACAAGTATCACTTCTTGTCCGATTGGGAAGACATGCCATTGAACAATAGTGGTTTCTTCCTGTTTATCACTCGATGTCTTGCGCAGTCGCTGTTCACCTGTTCACCTGGATCCAGAGATCCCGGTCAGCGAGCGTTTCTTGGAAATTTGAGATTTGTGAGCCCTGAGTCTGGATACCTGACGTAGCTCATGACTATGCGCACACTCGAAGTCACTATCCCGAGGTCTTGTCAATGGTAAACATTTCAGCTGAAGTAGCGCTTGTACATCAGATGCCTCGATCTTTTGACTCGTCAACCTCGATTCAAATCCGGCAGAAGCTCACACGAAGAGCAGGGATCATAGCTCAACGCCACGGAATCTCCCCGCACATCCACAGCCTAGAGGCAAAAGGGCAAAACACACACACACACCGACCCCGGTCAAGCTTGCTCTCCCCCACCAAAGGGCGTCAGGGCGCAGCCAACACGCTGGCAAGCTTCGGAGACTCGACGCTAACGAAGCGGTTACCCCAACGAGTAAGCAGACTGGAACGTCGGCGAGCGGGCAGAGCAACGATCCTCCCTCTTTGTAGAATCATCCTCGGCACTGGGCGGCCCTTCAAATTAGCTATGGTTTCGCGAAACGCGTGCGCGGGGACTAGGGGACCTGCGGCTTGCCACGGCTTCGGTGCATGAGACGGGCCCGGATCTTGATAACAGATGCAATGCGGGGAAAGCTATCTTAGTGAGCTGCTCGATTCACACAACGTCTTCTTTTCTCGGTCAGCTCTTCTCCAAAAACTCACTTCTTCACCTCTGCTATACTGAGTAGTAACTCGTTCCGCGTGCATTGACCTCTAACAATCACTTCCTCCAACGTCTCACCCTGACTCCAATTTGACCTTCTTGAAGCTGCTCATCTCCATCTCACCTACCTCTCCCCCTTTCTGCGTTGACGGGAGCACACATCAAGCTGGAAATACTTTAGAGTAGAGCAGAGCTTCAGACACGCCCTATCTATCTACCTGCGTTACAGGCCTGAGATATTATCCTAACAACGCGTTCCAGATCTTGAGAACCGGCAACACTCAAGATGGCGACTGTTGTAGAGAAGCGGGGCGGCCAGACCATTTACAAGTCCCCGGATCACATCGATCTCCCCAAAGTCGACCTCCTCACATTTCTATTCGGTGAGTCTCACAGTCACGCAGACCTTCAACACACACCGGCATCCTCCACCGTTCGCCAAACACACATGCTGACAGGATGCAGACTCACCAAATGAAAGACTGCGCGATGACACAGTCCTCCACGCCGACGCGGCCGATCCATCCAGATCAATCACCAAATCCCGCCTAGTGAAGGCTCTCAAACAGCTTGGTCACACACTCCGCCACCAGTACGGCATCAACAAGGGTGACGTGGTGCAGGTCATCTTCACAGGCCACTACATGGCCCCCACCGTCTTCTACGGTATCATGGCAGCGGGCGGCACCGTCGCGGCGTCAACGCCGTCCTCCACCCCGCCAGAGGTCGCGCGTCAGATCAACCTCACCGAAAGCAAGATGGTCATCTGCAGCCCTGACCTCAAGGCGCTCGCCGCTGCTGGTGGATCAGCTGCGGGACTACCCGACGATCGGATTCTCTACATCGGCGACAGCCACGAGTTCCAGCTCTTCGAGGCTAAGACGGATAAGCGTGTGCCTCTTTCATCGCAGGAGCTCGACTGGGAACGGGTGACGGACCAAACGAGACTCGAAAACACTGTCGGCTGTTACATCTACAGCAGTGGCACGACTGGTATCCCAAAGGCGGTCAAAATTTCTCATGCAAACATGATTGCGCAGACCATGTTCATCTCGACGCCAACGATAGAATATTACAAGACGCACCCGAAGATGGAGTACATCACGCTCGCACATTTACCGGCAGCTCACATCTCTGGTCTCCAAGCCTACATCGTCAACCAGACCTTCATGGGCGGCATCGTCTACTGGATGAAGAAGTTCAACTTTGTGGAATTTCTAGACTACGCGAAAAAGTACAAAATCACATCCTTCTTCAGCGTGCCGCCTATCTATCTCATGATTGCGAAATCACCGCTGGTCAAGGATCATCTCGACACCGTGGAATTCGCCCTCACGGGAGCTGCGGCTCTAGGAGGCGAAACCCAAGCCGAAGCACAGCGAAAAATGGGCAAGGGAAAAGCGATCCTCGGCCAGACGTGGGGTCTCAGCGAAACTACCGGCGGGTTCACGATTCTTCCCCGCCATCTCACAGATGACACGGGAAGCGTGTCCATGATTGTGGCCAACTGCGAAGCTCGGCTCGTCGATGATGAGGGGAAGGACGTCGAGGTTGGTCAGCCGGGAGAGATGTGGTGCCGTGGGCCAATCATCACCAAGGGGTACTACAAGAACGATAAGGCCAACAAGGAGGCATTTGTTGATGGTTGGTTCTGCACTGGCGACCGATTGTCGTTCAAGGATGGAAAGTTCTACTTTGTGGATCGGAAAAAGGTTCGTATTATTTGCTTTCTTGGTACGCGCTACCGCGGATGAAACTATAGCTAACAAACCTCAGGAACTCATCAAATACAACGGTTTCCAGGTGGCTCCAGCCGAACTTGAAGCATTACTGGTCACGCATCCGAAGATCCAAGATGCGGCCGTCATTGGCGTCGAAGGCGAAGGCACCGAGCTTCCAAGGTACGCAACTTCCAACTCCGTTAGCCAGCATAAACCAGTGAACTAACGTCCTTCTAGAGCTTATGTGGTCGCCGATAAGAAAAAGATTTCTGCAGAAGAAATCCAGAAGTGGGTGGCAGATCAGGTTGCTAGTTACAAGAAACTTCGTGGCGGCGTGATTTTTATCGATGCCATCCCAAAGAGTCCCTCTGGAAAGATCTTGCGCAAAGATCTAAGGGCACTTGTGAAGCGCGAGGCTGGCGCGAAGCTCTGATAGAACTGAGGTAGACAGCCCATAAAGAATGTGAACAGAGAAAGCTTCACTTCATGAAATACCATGCGTTGTAGATGCCTTGGGACTTAACATTGAGTTTTGTCTGAAGGTCCTTTCTCCGAAGTCCACGTAAAGTTCAACATCAACTCTAACGTCCGCTACCGTTCTTGGTAGTCCAGGCCGCGATGGTCAGTACCAGAGTTGTCCCTTACGTCAGGTAGGGCCATTTTGGATCTATCTCCGAAGGGTATTGCTCTAGGTATGCTATGTGAAATTCCCCTTGACACTTCTTCTTGCCATCCGCACCTTCATCCTTTAACCTGCATCTGTGTTACATCTAATCCATATTGGATCTCTGGGACAACAACATCACTAGTTACTTCTGTCATCATCATAATTGCACATCACCTCTTCGGAAACCGCAACCATGGGACTCTTAGCATCTATCAGAAACCGTCGTTCCGGTGCGGGAAAACCGAGGCCTCCTCCTCAAGCATCAACCCATGTGCAGCAGCCTATGCCATATCCCCCTGCCACAGTTGGTCCAACTACCTATAACGCTCCGACGAATTTGACTCCCATCGAGCAGGAAAACCGACGCCTTCTCCAACTCACGCAAAGTATGGAAGAAGAGAGAATGAGAGAGCAGGCCCTTGTAAACCAGATCGTCGAGGCCGCCTATCGAGAGAGATATGGTGATCAGTGGCACCTTCATCTTCAAAATCAGCACCCGACACCACTCGAGATCAGACGCAAGCCCGTTCCCTCTAGCCAATCGACCTCTCGGGACACCAGCCCCGGCGCCTCGTCCCACTATAGCGGCACTACGATGAACGAGCACGCTGAGGGATCTCAGCTGAACACACCGAGTCCCAGCTCCAGCAGATCCGGCTCCCAAAGCCCTCACAGAAGCGAACATGAAGGAAGCAGTGGCCAAGCAGACCTTTCTACAACATTTGTCGACGGGAGCAATCACTCGCATGTGGTCAACGCCGGGAATAATATGCACCCTTATGCTGCAGTTTGGCCTGTCAGCTACGATCCTCCGCCATACACTGCCCACCGACCTCTTTCTGTTATCTCGGAGGAAGGCACAGGCCAGACAGCAGTTCAAACAGCAGCTCGACGTGCACTTCTGCTCGCAGCTCAGAGGCAGGTCGTGCCTGTGGTAGTGAACAACAAGAAGAAGTTGAAGTATGAACCAGCTCCCCTGAACCATCTTACTCGAGGAACAATGCGGAAGAAGCCTATGGGTACTTCGAAGTAAGGGAGGAGAAAAGTCGATACCAAGAGTAGAAAGAGTAAAATAGGATATAATGAAGTAGTATTCATAAATAGCGAATTTTACATGTGTCTTTCTGGAAGAGGCTTATACAACATCATGTCTCTGCAATATGATGTCTTCAAAACCATCAAACCTGTGGCGAGTAAAATTACCGGTCCCATAGCACCATTGATTAACAATGATTAAGCAGGAGATATGCCTAGCATGGACTCCTCATGATAAACTAGAAGATAGTGTGTCGACGGCAGTCATCTCTCCACCACGAGGATCCAAACATTGAGGATCAAGATTAGACGCGACATGGCCAATCATTTGATGAGCTTGCTATGAATTTTGAATCGAAAGAATCCCTCACAAACAATTGAAGCGCGATGAAGCGTGAAGGGCTGATTCGCAGTGGACAAAGTTCCGCCTCAACAAGTGAGAATCAGGGCCTGTCTCAACTTGGGGCTCTCGCCGAACTACTCGTATTGCTGACCAGGCACCTATGATATTGATCCTTCGAGAAGCTCCTGCAGCATTTTGCCAAGCCGGCCTTCCATCCGTGCCAGCCTGCACGAACTCATACAGCACACAGCCGGGCCTTGCTTTAGTCGAATCATTCTCCAACGAGAGTGCACATCGTGGTCTGGACTCAAGATATGAGGTCATTGCATCGCATTTTGTGAGACAGTGATCACATTTATCGACTTTGTCACATTTCTAGGCAGGCCGAGGCTGACGAAGTGGTTTTCTTGTCCATCACCTTGCAGCTGGGTCTCGCAGGTTAGACGATTCCGTGAGGAGCCGAGACAAGACGATCGTCTGTCTCCCCCCACCTTCCTATTTCACTTGGTGTCAGTTCATCCCATCTTGCCCATGACCCAAATATTAGGATTTGATGCAATGTGACCATCCACTCGTCTTCCAGACCACCGGAGCATCATCGGCAACCCGCCTTCATGGGTGGATGGAGCGAGGAATGACACGATTCATCAGCTCTGATGCTTCAAGACGTGATTCTACCAATAGATAAGATAGACCATTGCTGACCGACATATCAGGCGGGGTCAGGATGTAGTCAGATAGAGTTCGGGGTGCCTGCACTGACGTGAGATAAAGTAGACCAGTCGGCAAAACTAGCGCTTATACCCATATAAACAAATTAAATATAAGGTTCGTATTTAATTATTTAGCTCATTTCTCGCGCTATATTTAATTATTTAATAATTAATTAATAAATTTAACTAATTTTTTAATCGGGAATTAAATAAAGCTATTATAAAAGTCCTTATAATACTAACTTATAAACTTTATCTCGATTAGTTTTTTTAATTAAAAAATTAACCTCCTATTTTTATAATACCGCTATAAAGCTAGTTTTTAAAATATTAAACCTCTTTTAATATAAAAGATCTTATTAATAATTATTATAAAGTTAAAGTTAATTTTATAAAGCTAAATATCCTCTCGTAATTTATTACTATTATAAGGATTATAAAATATTAAATATAAGCTTATTTAACGTTAAATAAGTTAGCTAATAGTTAATTTATTATTAAATTAGGTTAAGGATTAGCTAAGGGATAATTTATAAATAATATTAATTAAGCTTAAGTATATAGTTAATTATTATATTTATTATTCGAGATATTAACTATTATTAATATTACGAGTTTTTTATAATACTTTTTAAAATTATAAGGGTAATAAAAATAGTTTATAACTATTATAGTAAAGGAGGAGGACTTAGATAACGAGGAGGAGAAATACTTATTATTTTATTTATATACTATTTTTATTAATAATTATAAAGTCCCTTTTTCGTATTAAATAGTTAGTAGCTCTACTCGGGCATATCCTACCTCTTTTTTAACTATTTTAATCCTTACTTAGGGTAAAGAATAATTATTATAATATAGAGCGGAAAGTTACCTAACTTAGTATAATACTTATTAAGGACTTACTAAGTATTAATAATTAATAATTAGAAATATCTTTATAAATTAAAATTATTATTAAAAAATAGCTTTACTCGCTCCCTAAGTATATATTTAAATTAAATATAATAAGGGATATTATTTAAAGTTAAAAATTAAAAAAGAGGTTGAAATATAAATTAACGATAAGCTAATTACTAACGAAGTAGTATTATTTACGTTAATTATAATTATGATATTATAATTTAAAAAGCTATAAGATCTATTTTTTTTTAAAAAAGTTTATTATATAACTTCTTTTACTCTTTAAAATAGTTAATAAAGTACTTAAGACTTATTATTATTTTTTATAAATAGTTATAACTATCTCTTTTACCCTAGCCCTAGTATTTTATTATTTAAAAATAAAGTAGCTTAAGTACCGCCTTTAGCTCGGCTAGTAGTTACTAATCGTTATTATTAAAAACGTTTTTAATAAGGATCCGTTACTTTAGATCTTTATAAGCTTAACTAGTTACTAAAAAAGTATAAATTTACTTTCTCTTTTATAAAGAGCGCTATATTATAAAATATATTAAATTCTATTTTATATTATTATTAAGTATTAATATAAGCTCTTATAACGACTATTTAAAAAAAGTAAATATATCGTTTTTATTAGTCTTATTACTAACCTTAAAAAAAGCTTTATATTATTAAAGTAACGAGTAAATAAATTTAATAATATTCTAAAGCTTATTAATAGGGCCCTTTATATACTAAAAGTTAAGATCTTCTTAAAATTACTTAGTATTAATTAATATATTTAATTCTTATTTAAATACCTCTTTATTATTACTAAATAAAAATATTATAAAAGGGATCTCGAAGTAGGTCAGAACGCTACTATATTAACCTAATTAACTAAAGACTTAATATAAAAAAAGAAAAAATAGAATAATAAATAAAAGCTAATAAGCTAGCCTTTTAGGCCTAGTAGTTTAGCTCGTTATATAACTATTAAGAGCTTAGCCTCGTAGCTTAAGGCTAAGCTATAGGGCCTATAGGGCCCTAGTACCTACTACTATAGCAAAAAGGCCTTATTAACGAAGTTAAAAATATAACTATAGTACTTTATCCTCTAATTAAAAATATTTTCCTAAGTATAAGTATAAAATAATATAGAATATAAATAACCTAAGTAAGTATTATTATTTAAAGTATTATTATAAATAACTACTCTAACTTAGTTACTTAATTCTTAATTATTTATTATCGATTTTATAATTTAGGTAATATTAGCCCTATTATAAGTACTATACTATTATTATAAAGTAATAAGGTATTATATCTATTACTTAATATAGTTTAGAAAGTAAATAAAAACGGTAATAATAATATTCCGTATTAGCGAGGTTTATAAATCGAATAATAAATAGACTTTTATTATTAACCTCCGGATCTCTACCCTAATTATATTTTTTTTCTTAATAAAGATCCTACTTAGCTCCTTTTTTATATTTTTATATAATAATAAGAATTTATTAATAATATTATAATCTAATTAATAAAAGAGGGCCTAGAGATAAAGATCTTAAAAAGTTATAAATAGGCTATTATTATTAATAATATACCTAATTATTAATTCCTTAATTCTTATTACTTTGCTTTTTATAATAATACTAAAAATAAGTTTCCGTTTTTTTAATATAAAATCGTACTTAAAGGATTTTAATAAATATAACGACTTATTAAAACTTAGATTTATTATTTAATATTTTAACTTTAAATAAGCCGTTACTAAGCTCGTAATTACTATTTTAAAATAAGTAATAATACCTATTTCGTTATAATAACGATAAAACTAAAAAACTTTATTTTAATTATTTTTATTATAAATTTTTTAAATAAAGACCCCCTCTAAGTAAATTTACGATTTTTTTAACCTTATACCCTTTTATAATATTAAATCGTCATTAATAAAAGTCCTCTTTTTTTAAATTATTTTTAAAAGGGCGTAGAGGCTATTACGATTTTTAAAATTAATTAATAATACGAGGCTAGTATTAGTTAGGGTTTATAATTATAAAGTAATTTAAAATAGTAGCTACGTATTAAAAATCGTATAACTTATTACTAATTAATTAATTATAATATAATAAATTAATTAATATATAATTTAATTAATTTTAATAATAATTATAATAAGTATAAAGGGTTAAAAGTAATAATACGTAACTTCGTTAGTTTTATTAATATTAAAAAAAAGGGGTATTAAAGGTTTTTTAAATTCTTAAATATAATAAAATACTAAATTTAGGGTTTTATAATATTTAGGCTTTTTTTTTATAATAATTATTAATAATTTATTTAATTAAGTAATATAATACCGAACTTATAATTATAAATAAAGAGTCGTAAGTTCGAATCCCGCTTTAAATATTTATATTTTTAATTACGAACTTTTATAAAGTATAATTAAGAATATTAATTTTTAATTAGCCCGGCCCCGGATTTTTTTTCCTAAGCGACCTTATATTTAATTAAATACGTTAAATATAGGGCCTTACGATATTTAATTATTTAACTTATTAAAATTCCTATATTTAACTGTTTGTTTAACTTATTTGTTTGATTGATTTGAATGGGTATAAGCGCTGGGCAAAACGCGTGTAACTCCGGCAGCGGGGCGGGACAGCCCGTCAAGGGAGCGGCTGCGGGCCTCTAGTACGAGAAGCAGGGGCTTCGGTTGTTAGATGGAGAGGGTTGTCACTATAGGCGCGTGGATGATTCCTCATCGAACTCGGTCATGCAGCTCCAGCCATCGCTGCAGTTTACCGCCATCGACCGCGGAGTTCTAGGATGTCTCACTTCTCGCCCTGATTAAGGTTGTGACGATAATCAAGTGCGGACTTTTTCTCGGCCGATGGCAATATCAAGGGAGTAAAGGTGAAGGCTGGCTTCCCTAGAACCTGGTATTATCATATGGAAACTCCGAGCCGATCTAGGCAAGGGAGAATGCCAGCTTTGCATTCGCATGCCAACGCCACACCCGTCAGCGCAAATCCAGCCTCATAGACCCTTCAGGCTCGGACTTGGCAATGAGAGAACTGCTCGAAATGGTCTGGAGGGGTGTGCTACATGTTTCGCAGCGGGATGTTACGATTGGTGGTTGGAAGGGACCACTTCTTCTTGGCTGCGCGGAGCCTCGAGTGATTTCCAATTTCCATCCCTTGAGAAAGTGCGCAACCCACCTTCATCACCCTGTTAGTTCGCGAGAGCGTCATTCGTCTCCTCGGATGCCCTCGCCTTCCTTCAAGCAGGTCATCGGCCAGTATGCAGGGGACATGCGAGATGCAATGGACTTGCGTTGCAGGATTCAGGCAACGTTGCGTTCTCATCATCGAGAAACTGATCATGACGTGCCCAGGTTATGAGGCCTGGCTAGACCTCACGAAGTGAAGTAGATGCTATGTTTGAAGACTATAAGTAACTCAGTGTTACTCACTGGAAAATAGGATGGAAGAGAAACTCAAGCTATCCAGAACAAATCCCCTATTCTCGTAGATCATTCAAATCACAATGCACTTCTCATTTATCGCATCTGCCCTCGTGGCAATCACCCCAGTCCTTGCTTTGACTCGGTCTCCTGCGCCGACTGTTACAAATGGCCAATACGTTGTGGACGGCTACGCATATGCCAAGCGCCAGATTTTCAACTTTGCCAGCGGCACTACCCTTCCCAGTGGCCTCTACAAGAGCACATGGAACATTTCTGACCCGCCAACCCATCGCTTCGACGCAGCCAACGTCGTTGTCGGCAGTGGGTATATGAATCTTAAGGTTCCTGGCGGCCAGACAGCCATGCCTTACAGCGCAGCTGAGGTCTCCACGACCTTCAACGTCAAGTACGCCTCAGTTCGTACTGTCGCTATCTTCAGTGAGCCTGCTGGAGTCTGCAACGGTAAGTCACGTATTCGCACCCCAGAATCTGCCACTCGGTACTAACAATAGACTACAGGGGCTTTCTTCTATCAGAGTGACAGCCAAGAGACTGACATCGAGTGGCTTTCTGATCCGGCTTCCCTCAGCAACCAAGGAACTCGCAAACTCTGGCTCACGAACCAGGATGCTGATGGAGATGGTATCAAGACATACAACGCCATCTCACCCCCTGCCAGCCCAACTACCACCGAGCACGAGTACCGTCTCGACTGGACTCCCGGCCGCGTTACCTGGTACGTTGATGGCGTCCAGGTATGGACTACGACTGGTGATGTGCCCTCTGCCAGTGGTCCTTGGGTTTTTAACAACTGGTCCAACGGCGACAAGGGATGGAGTGCCGGACCCCCTTCCACCCAGGCCGACTTCAAGATTAAGGATATTTACATGTACTACAACCAGTAAACTGTGGGAAGGCTTCTACACGTTGAAAGCTTGTGCCATTGAATGTGGTCATTACCGTCGAAATCTGTCTGACATGGCCCAAACAATGGTTACATCTGATGTCTCAAAGCCTTACGGAATCAGTTATGTACGCAGCGATGTTTCAAGTCAATTTATCAGTTCGATCATGCACGGTGCTATATATCTTTCAATTGAACGGAAGTCGTTCATATAATGATATGGGAAGAGGGAGAGTTGAGCTGGCTAGTTTCATGCCCAGTACTTTGGTTTCCATGACAGGTGGAGGAAGCCGCAAAAACCTTCCTCGTGCCTACTTATCAGTAGCGCTGGCTAGGTACAACTACTATAACATCAAGACTGCTCACGTTATTGGTGACTCAGAGTACACACGTCGGAGGCGTTATATAGATGGCAGCAAGTGAATGATTGTATCCAGCTCAATTTTGATGCAGTGATCTGCCATCTATTCCACCCTACAAGTTCGGCCCAGACAATCCTGTCAATTCAATGTTCCTATTGCGAGACAAATTTACTAGATCCATAGCGTAGGAGCTCTTTAACAGACGGGAATATTGATGACATCGCCAACTTGGAGCAGAAGGGGGTCGACACCCTGGTTGGCAGCAAGGAGAACGTTGACATCAAGGCCGAGACGCTCGGCGACGATGAAGAAGGTGTCGCCGGCAACGATGGTGTAGGTGGCCGCGCCGCCCTCAACGCAGGTACCGGTGCCGGGCTTGGACAAGCAGGAGGTGTTGTCGGGGTTGCAGACATAGGTGGGGACCTTGAGGACCTGGCCGAGGGCAATGAAGTTGGGGTTGGTGAGGTTGCTGGCGTTGGCGATGTCGCAGATGCCAGAGCTGTACTTCTGGGAGATGATGGTCAGGGTGTCGTTGGAGACGACAGTGTAGTCGATGGTGGGGCCGGGGGAGCAGGTAGGGGTGGCGGTCGCCGAGGCCGTGGCGGTAGGAGTTGCCTGCTGTTTGATTGTTAGTTTGAGTTCATCTTCATCTATGTTAAACCGTAGCTGAGCTCGGTCGTTCATGGTGTGGAAGATCATTTCAACTGATATGATGCTAGAAGTTGAGGTAGCTTACAGGAAGGGCAGCGGCCAGGCCGGCGATGGCGAGGACTGAGAAGAGGGCGGAAGTGAACTGCATTGTGGCTGATTTGGGAGAATCAAGATTATTGGAGTTGAGCGAAGGAATGAAAGTTGGTAGTATCGAAACGATTGTGTTGGTATAGAGAGAGACTGGATCGAGAAGCTGGATGCTGATGATGACTTCCTAATAGATCAGTAGTACTCGACGATCTCTCGCCCTACTTATATGGAAATCAACAGCCCCTGAGAGAAGAGGGAACCAACAGTTCGGACGCTAGCATTCTAGATCCCGTGAAGGAGCACTTGGCAACGGCAGTGTCTGTTTGTGGGGGCAGATTGGTTAGGGGCTTGTTCAAAGAGGGGCTGTGTGATGAAGCTCTCCGTGTTTTGTTCAGGCTAATTCGCAATGTGTCAAGGCGTGAGACAACAAGCAACAGTAAACGAGGCTGTTGCGAGCAGCAAATTCACGATTGGAGTGAGAGGTACTTCCTGAGCCATGGGCTTGGGTCACTCGGAGACTCGGGCATGATCGTGTTCCTGGCAAGCCAAGCAAGTAAACCTAAATTTCTGGAGATCGTGGCCCCCTGATTGACTCGTGCCAGACGTTGGGTCTGGGGAGGCCCTTGCAAATTTGCTGCGGTTGCCAGGAGGCCAGAACGATGTTTCTAGAATTTCAATATGAAATCACTCAATATCCCTTCTGTGCAATTTTTACATTTCATTAGGTGACGTGGCTCTCCTCGACTCCATGACTTTGGCGCCAGCGAGCTGACGATGGCCGAGCATTGGCGTTTCCGACCCGAAGACTTTAGGAGTTGGAGACAATAGCACATGTTAAGATGAAATTCGAATAGTAAACTTGGACTTAAAGCAAACTTACCCTCCACAGCCTGAAGTCTCCTGATAAAGTCGAAGTACTGGATGGCTCCGTGTTCGCGACCCAGCGTTGACGGGTTATTACACGGAGCATATAACCGGGGCAATCAATCAAGGTTTGAGGCTCATTCAAGGTCACCCCACCCTCACCGTCCGAACCATCGTCTCATCTCTCGCAAAGCCTGGCTCAACTGTTTGCATCGAAATTATCTGCCTAAGCATTTCTGCTCACTCACTTCCCGATAACACCAATGCCTAGAGTACTCTAGATGACTTTAAATGCTCAACTTCGACAGTTACTTGATGGTTCGAAATATTGGGATATTCCTTCACATCCCGTAGACACGATGGACGGCCTCTCCACTTTCGACCGAAAATCGTCTAGGGATTTCCCAGATCGGTCTCGGACTGATGAACTTAGACTCCGTGTGGAGATCGCGGAGGGGTCCACATGCCCCAAAGCCACGCCATGCTACCCATGAGTCCCGGGCTTTCCGATCAGTTCGCCGTGTAGCGACCTTGAGGCGGTGCTCACTCTTTTTACTAGGACAACGTTCAAACGGACAAGAGAAAACCCAGGAAAGCGGTAGCCACAACGAAAATGCAACCTCGTGTTGTCCGAAAAGGGGTCGTGAAGGGGGCAAAAGCGGACCAGACTTCCCATTTCTGCATTGAAAGCCTTGTCTGCATATTGCAATCCATCGATCTCGCTGGCATGTTGCTGCCAGCCATACAGTCTTGGCGCGAATGCCCTCATGATTGCAGGCCGCGTCAAGCTCGGCAGTCTATTTTTGAGAGATTCTGTGGGGTTGAGATGCTGTCAAGCTTTGCGTCTAACGGCGGGTTGCTTTTGTTCAATCGCCATCGCCGTACTCTCCGAGGATTCGCTAGATTGAATGGATTCGCCTAGAAGCTTTGGGGAGGGTGGCTTTCTTAGTGGAGGCGATTTGAGGAATTACGTCTCTTTGTCGGATCATATCCGACGTGGCATCTATTACTTCTAAGCCGCGTGGATCAAACTATTTCATGCCCACACAACAGTGGTCTCTTGGGCACTCTCTGTTTTGGAGACGATTGTCCCATAGCCGGGAAGAACGTTCGTGGCCAAGCCAGCTACTAATCCCATCTATAAACCCTCTCGAGTGCTTCGTCAATCGGGGCAGATGAAAGTCTGAGCTTGTTATCGGAGAAGATGAATTCTTCGTGGGTCACAAGTACGAGGATACAGCTTTGATGGAGCAGTGTAGTGCCCACCCCGCCCTTGATTGACGTGCTTTTTCAAGCTTGCCATAAGAGGACAATGGCTATACTGGACAGATGAAAGTCGTCAATTAAGGACATCCTTATGCTCAGAGTATGTTCACCATGACTTAAATTCATGCTAGTGACTAGCAGCGCTTTCCGGGCATGGGCTACTGCTCTGTTGAATATATCGCATCACCAAATTTGAAGTGGATATAATGAAGAGTTCTCGGATCATTCTGTTTCTTTCATTTCCAAAGGCTGTTGAGGACCGCAATAAGGCATGACTTGGCCTCTGGAAGCAGACCCGAATTTTCGCCCCTTTCCCAACAATGACTCGTAAACTTGGAGGCAACCGCGCGCTTAGCATTGATGCAGGCGACATCGCTCAGAGATTGTCACCTCATTTACTGATGAGAGTCATTATGTAAGTAAGGTAAGATGAGAAGACTGAGGGCAGGTCAAAACTGTTGGTGCCCGGAAGTTGATGGAACCAAATCGATGACGGGTTATTCGCCCTTGCTGAAGCGGTCAAGTACACAGATAATCCAGCTTGATGACCTTCCCGATGTACCCCTTCTCATAGCACCCTGAATGCGCTCCAGATATCATCGCTTGCTCTGTCTTACCCTTGCAGTATTTTCCATCCCATACAGCCCTATGGATCATGTCCGTCAAGTCAACGACTTAGAGGTTTATTCAAGGTATCTAGTCAATTTGCGGGCAAGGTAAGCGAGCAATCACGCCTAGGGAATCCGTCGAGATGGATAGAGAAACTTGTATGGAACTCCGTTGTCGACTTCCTAAATGCCATTACGGCCATTATCTGTCATCCTGCAAAACGTGGCTAAGCAGTCACTTCACTGATCAATGTGTCTGGACGTCGCGACGATGATCGTGGCCCGCTTCCCCGCATGATGCTGGAGAATCTCCGTCCGTTCCCCTCACCTCATCAGTTGCATCCCCAGCCTCCGCCTTTAGCCGCCCCAGATCAACCCCAACTCGGATGTTGCGCACCAATTGCAAGATGGATCTGATCCGGGATCACACTTCGCGCAATCGTCTTATTTGTGCGCAAAGTGATCGTTTCTCGGCGTTGTGGAATAGCTCACGTCGATCCGTGTCAACGAGTGGGAAGAGAGCTAATATTCGGCCATGATTGAGGCCATAATCAGCTAGCTTCGGGCACTATAATAATAAGCTTATCACGACTGTGGTCGTCTCTTGAGACTTCGGTACCGATTCGTTATGATCTAGATCAGCCACCAACATGATATTCTCCCTCCTTTCAGCCTTGGTGCTAGCGGCCTCTGTGGCCCTAGCCCAGGATACCTCGTTCACGAATCCTGTTCTGTGGCAGGATCTTGCCGATTTGGAGGTCATTCGCGTCAACGACACATACTACTACACGGCTTCGACGATGCACTATTCTCCAGGGGCACCTGTGCTCAAGAGTTACAACCTTGTTGACTGGGAGTATGTGGGACACTCGGTACCTGAGCTCATCTTTGGAGAAGAGTACTACCTGAATGGCAGCACCAGTGCCTATGTAGGCGGCATTTGGGCTTCTTCCTTGAAGTACCGGGAAAGCAATGGCCTGTTCTACTGGTACGGTTGTATTCAGTCTGGCGGAATGAAGACCTGGATTTTTACCGCTAGTGATCCAGCGGGACCCTGGATTGCTCAACCCCCCATCGAAGAATGCTTCTACGACTTGGGGGTCCTTGTTGATGACGATGATACTATGTATGTCGCGTACGGAAGATACAACATCAGCGTCGCTCAACTCTCACCCGATGGGCTGCAGCCGGTCAGGAACGAGGTAAGTTCCGAATCCGGAACATGCAAGGGCATCTTTAACTTCTCTTTCTAGGTTGTGTGGGTCGACCCAGTACGATATCTGGAAGGAGCAAGATTCTATCACATTGGTTCCAGCTATTACATCTGGTTGACCAAGCCCGCGGATGGTCAGCATGTGTTGAAAGCAGATAACCCGTGGGGTCCGTACACCAATCGTACGGTTCTCGACAGGATGGCATCCCCAATTCCGAACTCCGGAACACCTCATCAGGGAGGCATTGTGGATACCCCTGATGGTGACTGGTGGTATATGTCATTCTTGGACGCGTATCCAAGTGGCCGCATCCCGGTTCTGGCACCGCTTACATGGGACGAAGAAGGCTGGCCTCAAATTGTTACGGATGAGGCCGGAGGCTGGGGCAAGACGTATCCGATGCCTATTGAGACGGAGAAGAAGGTGAAGGCAGCTGGAGCGTACACCGACAACTTCGATAGCCCTGTTCTCTCAGCCGAATGGGCTTTCAACCACAACCCGGACAACTCTGCCTGGGAGCTCGGCCCTGACGGTCTGACACTGCATACGGCAACTATCACAAACGATTTATACAGAGCAAGAAATACTCTTGCCCACAGAATCCAAGGACCAAAGAGCAGCGGCACATTCCGACTGAATCTTGGCAATATGGCTGATGGCGACGTATCAGGCGTCTCAATCTTCCGCGACGAGTCCGCTTACATTGGGTTCCGCAAGGAGGGCGGCACTCTGAAGCTTGTCGCGGTTCATAATCTTATTTTGTCCGAGAGCTCTGGGTGGCAGACGACCTCCAATGGCACGACCGTAGCCACGGCCACTGAGTCTGAAGTCGACCTGTCGGAGGTTGCCGATGGTTCTGTGGACATCTACCTTCGCATAGTCGCAGACGTCCACCCGACCTTTGGGGTTGAGGCAGATAACCCGAGCCAGCTGCTGTACAGCCTCGACGGAGAGAACTTCACCCAGCTTGGACCGGACTACCCCCTCCACAACAGGTGGCAGTTCTTCCTAGCGTTCCGTTTCGCAGTGTTCAATTATGCTACGAAGTCTCTTGGGGGTTCAGTCGTGGTAAAGGAGTTCACTCTCGATTCTGTAAATTAGCTCAACACTTCTTTGATAGAAATCCTCGTGACGAAGAAACTGGTCCGAATGTCACTGCGGAAACTGTGGTGCGCTGTTCCGGCTAGTATGACTATCGATATGAATGTGAGACCCTTCGTTGAGCCATTCCTTTCTGGTCGCTGTTCGTGTGAACATCTTCCTTCAGTGCTTTATGTACATTTTTTCGGCCTTCTCAACATGTTCTTCTGCGATGGGTCGTTCTTGAGGAAAGTCGGCTCATGGTCCGCACTCTGCAGTTTGCAAGCCATCGATCTCGAGGCAATCGTTTTGGAAGTCATTGTTTCGCACAGGGTCGGATACGATAATGCACTGTGTGAAAGAAGAAAGCACAATTAGCAAAGGGCAGACTTGGGACTGCAGCGGGGATGCTGGATCGTTAGCTTACTGCATCGCCTCCTGTGCCTTCTGTTAGCAGTCTGTTTCCACTATGGTGATACTCAAGGGAATGACTTACTCATATAGCCTTGGTCGTGGCATGCAGATGTCGTCCAGTCAACGCGGACTTTTTTGGATGCCTGTTCGCGACAGAAGCAGCTGATCTCCTGCTGGGCGAGGGTACCCGCCGCGAGGGTCCTTGGTGTGCGTCAGTATATGTATTCTTTGGCTCGACCATTTTCAGATGCGGCGTTCTTACGCAAGGAAGACAATATGGGTTAACATCTTTGACGCTTGGGGTGACTCGACAGGTTTTGTCATGAAACCATATCTCACTGTTCAAGCGGCCGGGTGTGGAAGATGTACTTATATCCCATCCTTCCATGGGACACATCTCTCTTCAATGACTGCGGCGCTGTAATCAAATCTATTTGTCTCTGAGGTTTTACTATATCTAAGTAAGCGCTCAGATATGCCAAGCTGTGCGGTTCCTGATGGTCTAGCTTGGAGATAGTGATGTTTTGGACGAACCATTGTGATAGACTTTAACTTAGAGGTAAGACACAGGACCATCCTGACTTGCATCGGTCTCGCAAGCTCATGTGATAGGATGCAAGGCAATTAATCTCCACCAGAGAGGCTTGGACCAGAGACCTCGAGTCATGCTGCTGAGGATCGTGCCGAGATGAGGCTGTCTAACCTTTCACTCTGGCTATCAAACTCTCGGAGTGCTTTAACCGAGGATGACTTCTCTTTGAGACTCGATGAGTGTTTTCCAGGCGTCCGGCGGCATAGCTGGAAAGGGAGCCGCACATGTTGGAGAAGGCTTTCGCAAGAAGATGTGGAAGACATAGTAGGGCGAGTTGCCAGCGCAGTCATTCCCAAGCTCCATTCCCGCGTACCTGGAATGAATTTCTTTGAAATCAAGCTCAGCACCAAAAAAGCACAGTCTTAAGACTGTAATCAGGGTACATTCGTAGTAGTCGGTTACCAAGGCTAGCCCAAGCGTCATCTGTTTGCTTCTTGCCTTAACAAATCGCAGGACTGAAAGTTAATGCAAGCCTGCCCTTTAGGAGAACTGTCCAAAGTGAGTCGCTGTATCACCTACGCATAGAATCATGCCAATTGACCAAGAAGAGCGGCCGATATGATTCTGACTGATATGGGTCTCGGCCAGGGGAAGTGAATCAAGGAAACTGACTATTTCTTAATTCTAAGACGAAAGGGATAGTTCGCACAACTCCAACAACAAAATTAAATGTTTGATATTGCGATATCGTCTGGGAAGGTTGCCATTCTGTAAGCGAAGAGAGTATGTTTTCAATCACGCACTTGTCATCGACAAGGTTGTGCTGAATGTATTTTTACTCGATCAAGCGAGCTGAATCCAAGGGATAAGGCTCAGGACATCCATTTTCTGGTTTACTTCAAATCGAATAGATCACAATGTGACCAGCCCTCTAGGCACTCGATAAAGATTCGCAGCCAGATTCGGCAAAAGGTCTTCCACGATGGGTGCCCAATTGACATGAAACAGAAAAGAGAAGGATACTAGAAACATCGAGTCAACTACGCCATAATCCTGAAGGCCTCGCAGCATTAGGTAGGATGAAGACATTTACTGAGCCGCGGCTGGATGTCATTGGGATCATTGAACTTTCAATGATGAAGAAAGAAGGAAAGAAGGAAGCAAAGAAACAATTGCCAGTAAATAAGGAAAGAAAAAGGTCGGATGATGCTGTGCCATGGCACCCTTCTCTCAGGGAAATAGTAGCCGGAATCGTATCAAGATTCATAGCTATCTGTCACTTGGTCAGCGGAGTATCGAAAGTTCCCTTGCCTTCGGCAATTGGGTTTGGAGCCTGAAGTCGGCCAAAATGCTCCATGGAGCCAATCATTGGATAGCCCAGGCCAAGCTGCAATAGCTGCTCAAATTCACTCAAAGGCCCACGAGATTTTGTTGAGCCTCCTGAGATATTGCTTTCGTTCAAGGGTATGATGTGCGAATACGATGGTGTTCCACGATTAACCCGAAGTTCTGTTGTCGCTCTTCGTGAAGAATGCCAATCCAGCAGCTTCGATCCAACTTTTTCAGCAACAGTGCAGTCCTTTGCTTCTCCTTCATAGTAGCCATCGCCTGTATTCGCGAAAGACCCGTGACCGAATTTGGCTGGAGCATCCTTTGGAACGGGATAGGAAAAAGAATCGTATGATGATGCCATAGCTGGCAATGCTTTGTTTGACGTGACGGGCGTCGTAGGATACTTGAATATTCCTTATTCGATGTTCGATAATCAGCTCGGAGGACTGTTCAAACAATTGAGATCAAAGGCAGGCTGTCAAATGGAAACGAGCGGTCGCGCAGCGAAGGTATGGATGGTGTTTGTTTGATCTTGCCAATGGCAAAGTCTGCTACCACCCTAACGTAAGTTAGCCAAAGAGCCTAAGATGGCAACATGCAATAGATCGCTATCAACAGTGCAATTGGGAGATACCTCAGTGAGATCTGAACGTTCAGCACAACGAATCTCTCTGCTTGGGAGCATGTGGATGTTTGATGACGTTGGGGATGGCGGCAAAAGGAGATGGACTCACCGTCCTGGCTAAGGTACCTGTAAGGAAAAAGGGATGTAGGCTGTTCTTTTCGGAGAATCATGATTTTTGGCAAAGTAGCAGCGATTATCTAGATTCTTCTTTGAGATTCCGAGCAGTTTCAAAAGACAGGATGAAAAGACAGGATGATCTGAGGACTTGCAGCAGTTAGAAAGATCTGGTAGCGGGACTGCCCTGCCAAGAGGTGGTTGGTTCTCTGACCACGTGCTGCCCTTCTCGACGCATTGTGCCCACACGCCCCAGACAGCCACCCGCAACATCGAGCTAGATATTTCCACACTCCTTGTCTTAGGAATCTTCTTTTCCGTTTGAAACCTAGGCCACGATATATTGCTTACTGACAAGTTCCCGGAAGTAAATGTACACAGTAACATTCAAGACGTTACCAGAACTTGACCAAGTTCTTGCACAATGGTTAAGGCAGAGACTTTGAGAGTTTGCTTTCAATCTTTCCGAAAGCTGATTTTTGACGGATGTAGTATTCCTCTAGCTCCATCAAAGCCTCGTGCCGGGAAGAAAGCTGGGACAGTGTGAGCCCCTGAGACTGCGAGACACCTCAAAGAAGCATCAATCATCGCAGCGTTCGATACGAGGAGAAAGCGCCACCCGCCAGCCCATCACTGCCCACCCTGTGAGACTTGAGCCTAGAGTGGCAGGATAGTCACTTTCCTACATACCGAGTCATCATCTATGTCAGGGGCTGTGTTACGCTGCCTCGCTTCTAATACCGTACGCGCCAGGTGTAACCGCCGCCGTCTTATGCGGATCTTCTGTCGACACGAGAGAGGCGCTGGGGCTGCAAAAGGTCTGGACTCTCGAGTGCTCTATGCGAAGCCTCTACGGTCGATGATATGACTTCAGGGACATTTGAGGCAACGTGAATCTTCAATATTCACGGGATGATATCCACCAATCAAGGTATGAGTTACACATCCAGGCATCTACAACTTGGAATTCTCCAATGGCAAGTGGCTTATGGAACGCGTCAGCAGAATAGCATTGGTTATGTGGGTATCATTCAAAGCAAGCTTCGATTCCAGGAAGTGTCTGGTAAGTGTTGTTGAAGGGAGTAAAAGTATAAGTGAAGTTGGCGGTACAGGTTTCTGGACCAAATCTGACAGACAAATAAAGTATCAGTAGTCAAGTCAAAACTCTCGCTGTCGGGGAGATGAGAGGTCCGTCCAGTACGGAGGAGGTCACTGGCCATTTTTAGGCCCCGACGATCTGTGCCGCTCTTGTAGCCCCTTTCCCCAACTGATACAAAATTAAGACCTTGTCCAGAGCAAAACACAGCCTCAATGGGTGCGGTCTAGTATTAGGCCATTTTTGGCTTGCTAAGCTACGCGTATGTGAGGTTGGAGTAGAGTGCGCCTGTCATGTGGCGGGGAATGAGACGGCGACTCAACCGGGCGAGTCTAGGGAAGAGGCGCTGTCCCTGCATCCAGGTCTAAGTCACATTCGAACGCAGCCATTGTGAGCTGCACATAAATATAGATGTTGAATCCCGCTTTCAATATTATGAATTTGAACAATACTCAGCTCATTGCGTTTCGGCTTGGACAACAGAATGCTCGATATTCCCCTCGAGGACCTCCAGAACCGTGGTCCCTTTGAATCCCGTCGACCTTATTCATCGATTTCGGATCCCAGCGGCATACATCGCAAACGCCAGACAATGGGGAATTTTATCTTGATTCTATCCTATGCCATCGATTGGGTTTTACTCATCGCATTTGCCGTGGCAGGCCTGCTGCTTGGCAATCTGTCGCCACAAAAACGGCCTTTTAACCTGGAGAACCCAGATATCAGCTTTCCGCTTCACAGCGATACCGTTTCTGTGACGAATCTACTGCTCCTGAGCGTCGCATTACCGATAGTTGTGATCTTTGGAGTAGTCATACTATTCGTACCCGGGGGAACAGTTCCCAGAGATACTCCAAGGTCCCTTGTCTGGAGTAGGAAGATTTGGGAGGTGCACGCAGGATGGCTGG